TGTTTGGCAAGATGGACCAGATTCACTGATGATGACAATAATTATCTGGAAACAGAAACCACTCCTGTTAACAGGACAGGAAGCTTGCATTATTCATGGGATTAGATTTTATTTTGTTATCTTTTGGGTTATTTTGATCTTCACTGATTTAAAACCAGACAGAACCAACTACTAGCACATAGAACAGTATCAGTTTAAAGAGAGAGGAAAATAGGTGATATTCCTCTTCCACATCTACCCCGTTTGACAGCACAGCTGTAGGTGTCACTGTGCAAGAGCATTCAGTTTTGTTAGTCAAATTTCTACCACACAATTCATTTATGAGTCAGTGGTATGTACATCAGTATGGGATCTTTTAGGTCTGTTCACGCATACAAAGTGACAGGTCACAGCTGGCTGCATTAATGCCTAGTGGATCATCTTGTATAAACGACACCAGGATTATCCCAGAGATACATGTCCAATGAACGGCCATCAGAGCGCATTCGCAGAGAGTATCACTTGGCATTTCTCTTCCCTCCTGTACAGCCCCACCACAGAGGATTCATCTGTTTATCCCAGGATAATCTGAAACCTACTTAACAAACACCTCTGCACATCAGCTTCCTACCAGCAAGTGAAAAGCACACCCAGCCAGCAACTTCTTGAACGAGTAAGGTGAGAAGGCCAAAATTTACAACTGTCCCTAGAGCAAGCGGAGGCAGCATATGTCCTTCAGGAGCAAGAGCCTTGTCGATTAATTTTTGGCTTTCAGAGCTACGGTGCCAGGAACGTCTCACAGTTTCCTTTGAACATCTGCAGGTGCTTGAGCTGTTCCACGTGTGCAGATGGCCAGCGCAAGGCAAGGCTTAAGCAAATCAGACTGATTGTCCTGATCTTCTCATGCTTGCTCAGACTTTGAAACATGGCCTTAGGAAGGGCAGGGACAGTCATCTGGCTAAATCTCTGTATTTTTTATTGCTAGTAAACTTGAAGGAGCATTTGTCAACCCCTCTCCACCTGCTTGTTGTGGGAAAACTTTTGGGTTAAACCGAAGGCTTGATGTATCTAACAAATTCTCCCTCATCATGTCTTAGTGTAGTTGTCAGTACCCGCAACTTTTCCCTTGTTCTTTTTCTTCAGATTGTGTGTGAATTTTCTCTCCTTTTCCTCCATCTGTACTACTTCTGTATTTGTTCCTTTTTGCCTAGTAGCTCTCCTCTCCCCCAGCTTTATTGCTCCAGCTGAGCAGAGGGCAACCTGCTTGTTGTGGTGCCAGCCACGCTGCTTATCGGTGCTACCCACAGCTGTGCAGGGAGCCACGAGAGTAAAAGCAAAAAAAAAGACGTGATGTATTAGAGTCAAGATCTCCCCTCTGTACTGTGAACTGTTCTGAGAGCCTATTGCAGTCTCAGCCACTGACAAGCAGAAAGAGAAGGGACGTGCCATCAGGGTTTTGGGGGCAACAGCAATACGCAGACAGGGGCTGCCATGCAGTTTCTCCCCATCCCATCCCATCCCATCCCATCCCATCCCATCCCACTGCCAGGTCACTCGCTTCCTAGCTGCTCTGCAGACACATGCACACAGCCTGCCATGTCACTGACCTGCTGTCTGAAGCTAAAGCCTTCTTTGTTTCCAACCTGTTATTTTGCTCTTCTGGCACTCACAACATCCATGTGCAGGACTGTCACCCACAGTCCTGGCAATGCTGCAAGACTGGAACCAGGCAGAAAGGGCTGGCTTGGAGGTTATGGGAGGTGGTGAAAAAGAGCGTGCTGCTGCCGCTGCGAAGTCAGGAATGGGGCCAGGCTACAAAAGGCTGAGCCAGCCCATATGCTTTAACACGCCTCACCCCCGCCACAACATTTAGCAGATGTTCAAGTGCACATTTTTGATTCATCCCATTGTAAAGGTTGAAAACATTTAAAAATTAAGATCCAAGCACAGGCTCTCACCCTCTTCAAAAATGAGAGTGTTTGGAGATGAGGTTTTACTTCAAGATCATCAAAACAACAGGAGAGGGAGACCCACAAAATGGTTCAAGTTAGAAATCCAACCTTAGTATAAGGTATAAAATTTAAGTAAACATCTTTGACATAAGAGAAACTGGAGGGAAAGAAAATACATGAGCAGAACCTCACCTCCTTTTCTCAACTCATACTCCACCTGTGAGCAGGAGGCAGGCTGTGACTCCTGCCCACCCACCACACAGGAACTGAGTTTCAAAGAAGTGTTTAATTATGGCTCTAATGTATCAACACAGCCTGTCTCCAATGCATCGGCCTATTTGAAACTGGAGTGGAGCCCAGCTGCGCTCCGAGGATTGCACTGTCATCCTGAGTGCTGGCTTTGCAGCCCATCTTGCCACCCACTCAGCAAAACAGCTGCAGGTTTGCTGTACCGGACACTTTCTACTTGCCCTGCATTTTGGGAAAACCTCCTCCACAGAGAACATGAATCTCCCATTAGCCTTAATAGCACCTAAATTTGAACAAGGGGAGAAAATGTCATACAATATTAATTGTGCAATTCTGTTAACAGCACACTGTACCCGTGTGAGTAGCTGCACAGTTTACACCCCCTTCGGTCCATCTGATCTACTTTCAAAAGGATTTGCACATGAAGAATGTTCTTTATCTTCGCCAACCACAGGCATTTACCTTCTGAGTAGTATTTGGAGCATACAATGTATTTGGTGTATCAAAAAAATATTTCTCCCTCTATTCTTCCTCCTTTAGAAACAATCATCCTCTCCCAGCTCTGACGAGTCCCTCCAACTGTGCATTTCACAGGAGCTACTAAGTGGCTCTGCAAAGACCACCTCTGCATCTGCCTAACCAGTTTTATTAGACACCTCCCATGTTTAGGCCCATTAACCTGATCACAACAGCTTGATGAATTAGTGCTTAGATAGACACAGTTGGCAGCTTCTAATTAAATAATTATGGCTAAGCAGCTGCAGAGAAGTTGTAGTGTTCCACTAGAAAGCCAGATGTCAATTTTATTGGTCCTCAAAGTTTCAAATGAAATGACTTCGGGCAATTTGGAAAGGGGGTTCACTGGCTCCAGGTGAATTCTGCAGATACCGGGCCTGCTCTCGGGTCGGCTGACCGCAGCCAGACCCCAAGCACGCGGCTGGAGAACCTCCGTGGTCCACCAGCGGCTCTGTTGCAGCAAGCAGCAAATGGCACAAAGTGTGACAGAACAATTTGGATCAAGATAAAAGAGAGCGGTTTGGCATCACGGTCGTTGCTTTAGCTTTTACCTAGAGAAGGATCCTTTGAAAAATCCATCTCTGAAACTGTATCAGTCAAAAATCCACAAAACTCATATGAGCCAAATGCAAAGCCTATTGAACTGGATGAGAGTCTTTCCAGGAACTTTAATTGGATTGGGCTTTCCCTGCATTGGTGAGAGCAGACTTTGTGACACCTACTGTAGACTTTCACTCTCCAAAATTTCTAAGGTACCTCTCATCTCAGTACCTAACCCTAGTTGTATGATGTGGAAGCAATGAGCAGTCCTTGAAGGTAAAAATTTGAGTAATATGAAAATCAGGAGTACTGTGTTTGCTAATTCATGCAAAACCTACCGTCATCCTCTCTTCAATTAGCAAACCATTGTGCCTATAAGGAACTTACACTTTTTTCTGATTTTAAATATAAATGCAAACACAAGTTATTCTAATCCATTCCTTTAACTACATTAATTCTCCTCCTATAACTTTTACAAGACACTATGTTTTCAAATAGAAGCAGCCTAATAATAGAAATCATCCATCCCCGTCGGAATATAAGTGGATCCATGTCCTTAGAAACATTTTGCTAAGAAATCCAGCTAGAAAACTAATTTTAAATAAATCTATGCATGTCAAAAATACAGATGGCTTTTCAGGATGCTAACTTAAGCATCATTACATAAGCAGATTAGGGCTGCCTGTTGAGCCGAGACACAAGAGTAGATGGCGCTGAATCCAGTATTACACACAAACCATTCACTTCCTGATACATCTTTCATCTAAAACTTTTGTCAGCTCTCCACATTACCGAGCCTGCTAACTGTAAGCACCGCACACAGCGCAGCAGGTCTGCTGGCAGAGCATTATCCTTCTCTAAACCCCGCTCGCCAAAGCAGCAGCTGGCTAAAGCTCATTTCTACAAATGGACCAGGGAAATGTTGCATCCTTCACCCTCTTGAAATGAAAATGGAGGAAAACAGCATCATGAACCTCTCGAATATTTAAGCACAGCAGTTGTGGAATGATTTTCTGATACAGAATTATAGAATCAAAATTACCCTCGTGTTACCATTGGTAACGGTGCCTCTACCTGAATATCAACTTAGAAAGTTAATGAGCCGGCTAGAGCTATCAGCTAAAATTACCACAACAGTATGTGATCTGATGTGATTGCGGTAAACAGGGCAGATACTTCTCATTATGAGGATAGTTTGTTTTCCATAGGCATATTGCATAACAAGGCGCAGCAACTTGCCTCTCTCTGCTCTGAGCCCTCATTTCATCAGCTGGCTCTGAGAAGGCCTCCTGTTGAAAAGCAGCCAGGGGGACGGGATTTTGTTTTCCCTCCCCTGTGTGTGTGTCAGGTTTGTTGACAGATGGCTTGGCTGACTGTGCTTGACTATTATCAAGCAGCTATTACCTTTGTAAATTGAATCCCATTTGAAGATTTTCTGTAATTAAATCTGCAGTGTGTTTGCAAGGCTTATATTGTATCCCGCACGTATTCGGGAAGCGCACAAGGCAGTCAGATGGCTGATTTACACAGCCAGACAGCAGCACCCTTCAGCCACAGGGATGGGGTGCTTTTGGCAGTCTGTGCTGCCACCTAGCCAAGACCAAGTCATTGAGTTCAGCCTTGCTTTACATTTTGAAAGCTTCAACTGAAGCATATCCCCCCAGATATAAATAAAACCTCAGCCCACAGCAGACACAAGGAAATTTGCACTCTGTGCTTTGAGAATCGTACAGTCAGCAGAAGAGAGCGGCTTAAAACAGGTAGCTACATTTCCCTCAGAAATGTCTTGTACTTACGGTAGAAGACATATTCGGTGTAGCTGGACCAGACCTTGTCATCTGTGTACTGGCTGACAAAGGAAGCCGTCACTGAGGAGTTACAGGCCACCATGTGGAATCCACATTCGGACAACATGTCGAAAGCCCTCTCCAGGTGCTTGAACTTGAGATAAAACCTGGAGGTGTATCTTTCTGGAGCCCTGTCTGGGTCTCTGCTCTCATTCAAACTTTCTCCAAAGACCTCTTTGACCAGAGCAATCCTTCCACAAACCAAAATCCTTGGGACCCTCCTGAATTTGGCATCTGCTTGGCTCTCCCTGCCAATAGTGCACGACCCCCGGTACCCGATGGTAATGAATCCCCACTTCCGATCAGGCGGTAAGAGCGATGAGGGTGGGCATATTCTTGTGTCACTGCCTTGGGAGACCTCTTCATAGTCACTGTGGCAATAATCATCGGGGCTTTGCTTGTTGTCATCCGGAGTCAGGATTTTGACCAAGTCCGGGAGCTGGAAGTACTCAGCCTCCCTCTTGAGCCTTCCCTTCTCTGGGAAGTGGTCAGGCAGAACCACTTGCTTGTCCCTGAGATAGTCCAGAATATAGCGGAAAAGGAAACCATCTCTGTCGATGAAGAACCTTCCCTTGGAGTCCTTGGCCAGATCGTTGGCTGTGTCTCTCTTTGGGGTGAACATTTTCCACAGCAGGGAGTGCGGGGTGCCAACCAAGGTGGAGTGGCGAGTGAAGTAAACCTGGCCGCCCACATTTAGCTCCACTACCTCCGGGAAGGAGTGCAGCCCAGTCCCCTGCTCGCGGGGAGGAAGGTAAGTCCTGCAGTTGCCACTTAGAGCCATTGTACTTTAAAACAGAAATCAGCAGCACGAAGCAGCAGGACTATCAATCACATCAAAGTGTAGAATAAGGCTCCCAACATTAAGGAGAAACAGGGGGGAAAAGGGGAAGTGAGAAAAGAAAAATAGCCAAAAGGTTTGTTTTAAAAAAATCTGAATTGTCCGTAAGTGACAGTGTGGCTGAAATGGCTTATACCCTAAGCCATAGAGGCTGGAGAGCAATCACTTCATGAAATGCAATCACATCACTAGATCTTCCAACAAAGCCATCAAAATCAAGGTCAAGCCAAGCCTATGGTCATTCACAGGTCTGTCAAAAGGGAAAACAAAATAAGACACAAATTATTCTTTTAAGCATCACAGAAGCTGCAACAGAGAAAAGCAGATCGGTTTAGAAAGCCAAGCTAGATCTCCTGCTAAATAGGTTTATTTTTCTGCAAGTTCTACGCTTCTTTTTCACAAGTACTAATCAATGGAAGGACTACATATGACTCCACCGTGTAAAAGAAAATACATACTTCATCTTTAAAGAAACATCTAATTTAGACATGCACGAGGGAACAAGAACAGCGAGTCTTACCTTGGTTACAATTAACGCACAGCTCTTGTAAAGGAAAGCAAAATTTCAAGACACTCAGAACACACATACAGGCACACAGAGTCCAGTTAGTATGAAATCCGATCCCAGCAAGGGACAGCAAAGGCAAGAAAAGTGCTCTTAGCAACATCCGTGGAGATCTCAAGAGTTAAACCGAGTCACAGGAAAGTTAACCGTGGCGGGTGACGAGAGAAACCAATACATACAGCACGATGGGAGAGAAGAAAAAAAAAAAAACCCACAACAAAAAACCCCGAATAAATCCGACCGGGCTCCGTGAGAGCGGGGCAGGGGGAGCGCGGGGTGCGCGTTTCGGCTGGCTCAGATGACTTGCAGAAACCCCGCAGCCTGCGCTAAGGGCTGGCGGGCTCCGGCGGCTCCCGCAGC